CCCCCCCCCGTTCCCTTAAGGATTTCTGTCTTCATCACGATTCCGTCACAAGAAACTTAACCCTCCCAGGTCCTTTCCATCACAATCCCAGCGATGTAAACGACACCCTCCCTATACACTCTCTCCCTCATAATAATAGACCCTTTTGATTAAATACCCTTCTCTCCATAACAACCCCATGTGTAAATCGTCTTTATCCCTCGTTCTCTCCGGCACAATTCGAACGTAATGGACGATCCCATCCCTGGTCCTCCAAACATCTTGCCCGCTAGCTAATTACCTCCTCCCTGGCCCCTCTCCATTTCGACCCATGCGTTATAAATTATCCCCTTCCAGGAATCCCCCCAATCAAAAAACCCGCGCGGTAAACTACCCCCTCCCTAGCAATCCCTCCCCAATCACAATCCTCGCGTGATAAAAACGAGATGAAATGGACACGTAAAACTATCCAGCAGAGGTGTGTGTTATATATCACTACTGAGATGGACTTGACCAGAACACTTCCGGTTTCCCTTCCATGGAAGCCAAGTTTGTAAATAAAGTAAAACTGATGAAATACTTTCTAAACTGTGATTTTTTTTACATCTGTTATCTCGAACACATGGGAGCTGTACTGTGTTATTCCCCAGTGCTATGTCCCCAGTGCTGTGTTAGACCACTTGATTCTGTATGTAAGTTCCCCCCGGGCCCCACCAGAGGAGGATACGTACAGCCTACACACGGATACCACAGATATACACATAGTGTGTTTTACGTACTTACAGCGGTTACACACTCACGGAATTTTAAATAAGCATGGACAAAGTAATTGGATTGGTGTCCATAGTTCTCCAAGTTTTCGTGATTGGTAAGTTTATTTTTATATTCTCGTATTCTGAAAGTATTTTAAAAGGTTTATGTAAAATATCATTGGATTTTGCTGTTCACGAAAAAGTCATCTAATGGAATTTAATTTAATTTAAGTGAGTGTAAAACAAAGTTATTAAATTTATAATTGTACAATGTATATAAATATAATTATTTTGTTTGGTGTGCGCGAAACAATTACAATTAAAGGCATACTTTTTTTATGTTTGATCATATTTAAATAGTTATATTTGTGGCTATTTGTATAAAACATAACGAAGGAAAGTGATGTAGTATATATGCAGTACAATAAGAACAACTAAATCGCTGTAATGGGATTTGATTTCGAGATTTTGAACAATAATACGAAATGTGATAATTTCCGATGTTATTTCTCGGATATATCTGTCAAGTTATCAGTTATGAGTGTGTTCGTTTTGTTTGCTGTTTCGAATACTACACTTACATCGTTTTGTATCACGATCGTTGAGACAGCACTCCATTGATACATCCTTTAAATATAAATGTATTCTGTGTTTTGTTGTACATGTTAGTTTAGCTTATTTACCGAACAAATTATTTTAAAATGTTCATATTTTATTGTTGCAAAGGAATATTTCTTTATTTGTAAATAAAATGTTAGAAAGTGTATTTTACATTTATCAGCTATTGGCGGGGTGGGGCTAATAATAAATGAGAGCTTATTCATTCACAACATAAAGTCGTAATAAGATTATTTTGATTTAACGTAAATTAGAAGTATATTGTACACCACATTGTAAATACATGTATAAAACATATGTACCGTGTAGCACAGATGTATAATAAGATCTCCGTTGGACCCGTACCGCCTACCTTATATTTTTAAACATTCTTCTATACGGGATAGATACTATTAATCTACACTTAACGAATACTTGTTGGTTTTCCAGTGACTTAAATTTCATGCAACCTTCAAAATGAACCAATGTCTTTCAGAACAATTAAGTCATAGGAATATTTCCTCCCGTGACACTAAACGTGAATGAAAGTTGTTCATACTAGAAACCTAAATGTCATTCCATCCCATTATACCAAAAGCCAATACAATAACCCCAGGTATCTTGGTGGCTATTCAGAAGATGTTGCTTATATTTTTAAAACACATTTAACTCATGTGAAATTGAACACGGATCAAGGTTATCCAATTGGACATCTTAGTAGCCTGCTGCATCAACATGCTACTTGCCAAACATCATAACCATTTACCTCTCAATCAATTCAACAATCGTAGTCACTTCTGCGGTTGATGATATCAAGTAATTGACTGTGTTTGTGAAGCGGATTTATAGATTACTAGGGATAAAGGATAGGAGGTTAGGGAGAAGTTAGGGTTGAGACGGAAATTGATAGGATGGCGGGGCGGGGCGGGGCGGGGCGGGGATAATGGCATAGGGCAGCTATTAGCATATAGCAAGGCCGGACAGTTAGAGTAGAGTAGGGCAGACAGGGTATAGCAGGGCTTGCCAAGGTGTATTGCACTGAGGTTAAGATGAGAACGCGCTAAGATAGGGTGATGTTTGATATGATGAGCTGAGCATGATAAAAGTAGCAAAGAAGATGAAGAGGAGAGGAGAGTGAGTGAGAGGGGAGGGGATTGCATATTAATAAAAAGGAGGACCGGACAGGCACGAATGGATGTCTGGCTGAAGGGGAGTGGGAATGGGATGGTAGAATTAATACGTATTTAGCACTATCACTTCAGGTTGATATTCTATACTGGGTGTGCCAGTAACAAAGTTAAAAGTTACACTGTGCAGTGTTTGTAAACGAGCAATAAAAATGGAAAACCCAGACGGAACCATTAATTGTCAAGCCGACGACGCCCGGATGACAGACTAATGTTAAAAAGTTCCTAATTCTGTTAAAGGCTATAAATTCCCCATATCAACCACCAATTTGGAGGAGAGATCCCCTCAAGCTATGTAATCACCTCATTATAAGTAAATTGCACCAAACGTGCATTTATTTAAACTGTTTAGTTTCAATGTATCTGGCGTATTTTACCAAATGCCAAAAACTGATTTGATATGCCAAGTCTTGTAAGGAAGCCCGAGATGAACAGACATGCTTGTTGCATGTATGTCTAACACTGTAGACGCGTAAATTCGACAATTATTTTCTTTTTGCAATGGATAGGATTTGTATGTTTGTTTTTATCGAGATGGTATATCCGTTTAAGAAGCATTTGTTGAAATGTAAACAATTCTCCTCCTTTTTGCCTATTTACGAATCATAATCAGAATTTGCCAGGGTTTGGCTCTAAATATTTACATGTACAAGTAACGACCAATTTGAGAAATATTGCAATTAAAATTCCATCTTCTGAATAACGTCAAGAATGTGCGTCAGTTTTGAACGTATGCACGGAGTCGAGAACATCCGGACTGCGGTGGAGAAGAGACCGCTCCGGAAACTACACACACCCAATATGTGTACGTACAATGCATATTCCCAGGCCTGCAGGTTGGTGATAAAGTTTCAACTTGCGACTTGATTGGCTGACAGTTGATTATAATGGGAAGACGGAAGCGATTTGAATGCTTTTTGTTTTCTGAATCTAAATAATTTTGATAAACCAGTGCTACAAACATAACTCGTCGCAGATTGTAAACGTTCTTTCTTTAAACGATGCATGTTTTATTCTGACAAAATTATGATTTCACAATCCTTTGACAGTCAGCTTTGAAATAAAAAAGCCAATTAATAGAAGCATATTTGAAAAGTTGTTCAGATTTCGACATTTTGATATGTCGGTAACATGCTGTATTTCCCTGTCTTTCGTATTCATACATTAAATATGTAATATGTTTTATTTCTCCATAAAAGACGAATATACGACTTCCCACCCTTGTTAATACACGTGTTTTTCTTGTCATAAGTTCGTGTCGTCATTTCCGTATTGCGTATCGGGCATTCCAATACCGTAGTGTAAATCATAGTAGCACCGGGTAAACATTAGTACACGTGCGTGAGGATGCTGTCAACACCCGATATCGATACTTCAATGGAACATGTGTAACCACAATTCAGATATAAAGCTTCCGATACAGTGACAAACATTGACTCTAGGGAACACCCTGACATGTTACCAGACGACTTTAAGAAGGTCATGTATATGAAGCTCATGGAACAATTACATCATATATGTTAATTAACACCCACGCAATTTATAACTTATCCGAAAATGAGGTGATACACATGCACTAAATTTACATAAACTTACACTAATCTTAGTGGAAACTTTGTGGAAACTCCAATGGTTTCAGTTTTGGTAATAATGAGACAGGAATACAACCACTTACAGATATCCGTCCCGCTTCCGGAAATTTAACCAATGATACCGTACAGAGTCTGGATTTTTCTTCTGAGATCCTCGAATTAGCCTTTACACTGACTTATATCTTTCAACATTTTTAAATTGGAAGTAAAGATACTTGGTTTTTGATATTAATACTGTTCAAAGATAAGCAATAATAAAAAAAAGATATTTTAATAATACTTATCGAAACTCTAACTGCTTTTATTTCGAATTTCAATAATCTGGATTTGAACTCTCCGTACAATTAATGATCCCGAAATTAACAGGAATTAATTGTATTCCAGAGACTATAACAGATTTATCATTGTTACAATTGTATGTGTTTGTAATACTGTTGGTTTAGACTAAACAGTTTTCAATGCACTTAATCTTTATCAATTTACAATCATGTTATGATGGGTAATGCATTTACTTAAACGATGAGGATTTTATTTCTTCTGACTTCCTATTTCGTATGAAAATTAAACATATGCAGAAAGTGACATAAACATATTCCGTATATATGGAGCTGCCATTCAAAAATCTAACCGAATTTGTTTCTACGACTCTGAAACAGAACATGAAAACACATTTCTCTTATCATTCTTATCAACACAAAGAAAGTTGGAATGAGAAAGATAATGTCAAAACCTAGACTTTTAATCTGCCTGTCTGGCAAACTGTCGTAATAACTACCAATCTTATTTAAAACAGCCTAACACAACCCCCTTCTGTCTGTGTGTTCAGTCTAGTCCATGAAAACACTCGCAGTGAGATTTATCAAAAGTGGCACAGACCATTTACCTGTTATTGTGGTCATGGGAATTTCGAGACGAATCTGGATATTTGACAATATTTATTAATTGTTTTACACTTGTGCAAAGACTAATGTGACACTATTCTCGTTATAAAGAGAAAAACACACATTTTAAAATAATTAGAAAGTCAATAAAGAGAAATGGTTATTGTCAGCCATAGTTATTTTTATTGAAATGTGTGAATGTCAAATGGAGAGTAAATACCAATGTGAAAGAGCAATATATTTGTGTGCTGGAGTGAACCCAGGGGGTGCTGGTATACTGAGTAGGTCAGGATCTTCGCTTATATAGCCACTTACTGAGGCTAACTTATTCCTACCATTAAACAATTGCAGTTATTGTACGGCATTCACAAGATGCGGTTCTATCGCGTAATGATGTCCTTTGGAAAGACAATTTTGATCATGTTAACGAAATATATCTTGATGCTCAAATGGCGATGCATTTGATTTGACCGTTAGCTTTTGTAATTGAAAGAAAATTAAAGTGACATTAAATTTATACACATACAATAAATAGTCTTGTGTTTAGGTTCATCGTCTACCTTAGATTGTACTGGTGTTATCACTTCTTATATCCCTGTGTATATAAGAAAAACTTTTTCGACTTGGTAATGGCGACTGTTCTACCGTGTTCAGCCTTGTACAAATCCGCGTTTTTTATTATCATAATTTAAAGGAGACAAATGCTGCCCCTGTACAAGCATACATTACCATGTTACATAAGGATCTAAAATATTACTGCCATAGACTTATATCGCTAAATGTCCAATTTCTTATGTATCGCACTATTGCATTTAACCAGAACTATCCTCAAATCAAAACGTACCAGCAGTCCGGTTTGTCACCTTTATAGCAATGCCTGTCCGAAAGGACGCTGTCATAGACTAGTCTAACAGTTTAGATGTTGACGACGGAGCATCAAAATATGCATTGAATTGTTAAAGTATAATGATAACGCTCAATATTCTTTTTACATATGAGGCGTCTTTTTAACTTTTGACTTATTCTTGTTTGTTGTATACCATATATGAAGGTCCTGGTTTGGCGGAATACGACATCCGGGCAGTCACTGTAGAAGTTCCCTGGGATGAAGCAAGCCAAGGATGTGAGGACATTGGATACGACCTGTTTGACCCCGCAATGGTGACAAAGCAAACACTGGTATCGAAGGCACTGCTTCAGGAAGGGGAACGTTATTGGACAAGTACATACACGTCAAGATCCCCCTTCTATTGGAAACTTGGTAAGGTTTAACCTTAGTACCCTCTAATCCTATTGGGTAAATTCAAACACAGTATCGTCTGATCCTACTTGCTTTGTAAGTCTTAATCCAGACATTTCGGCTCATTACCTGTTCACGAGTTTTGAGAGATTTCCCTCTGTATCACTTGTTCCTGCTCGCCTGGTAAATTTTAGCCTCAGTTTCCCCTGGTTCTAATTACACATTGATATTTAGCCACAGTATTTATTGATTCAACATGCATTTGTCCAGTAACATGTAACTCAGTATCCCCTTTTACTTACTTGTCAGTCAAGATTGAGCCCATGTGTTCTATAGTCCTATTTTCCTGTAAAGGTTTAGCCCAAGTATCCTATAGTCCTAACTGTCTTTTAAGATTTAGCCCCAGTAACCCAAATTCCAACTTGCCTGTTGCAATTTGATTCCAGTATTCAATAGTCCTACTTGCCGTTAAAGATTGAACCCCAGTATTCCATAGTCTTAGACACATGTTAAGATTTAAAACGTATTATTCCATAGTCCTAATTGCCCGTTAAGATGTATCCCCAGTTTATCATGGTCCTTCTCGCCTTTCTAAATTTAGCCGAAGTACATTTCCTACTCAATTATTTAGATTTAGCCGCAGTATATAATGGTACTACACGCCTGTTAAGATTTAGCCCCAGTTAATCATGGTCCTAGTCGCAAGTCTAAATTTAGCCCATTATATACATGGTCCTACTCGTCTTTTTGAATATAGCCCTATTTATCATTGTCCTCCTACTCACCAGTTAAGTTTTATCCGCCGTTCATTATGGTCCCACTTTCCTGTTAAGATTTAGACTCAATATCATGGTCCTACTTGCCTGTTAAGATTTAGCCCCAGTATATCGTGGTCCTACTGGCCTGTTAAGATTTAGCACCAGTATATCACGGTCCTACTTGCCTGTTAAGATTTGGCCCGAGTTTATCGTGGTCCTACTTGCCTGTTAAGATTTAGCCCCAGTATAACATTGTCCTACTCGCCTGTTAAGATTTAGCCCCAGTATATCGTGGTCCTACTTGCCTGTTAAGATTAAGCCCCAGTATAACATGGTCCTACTCGCCTGTTAAGATTTAGCCCCAGTATAACATGGTCCTACTTACCCGTTAAGATTTAGCACCAGTATATCGTGGTCCTACTCGCCTGTTAAGATTAAGCCCCAGTATAACATGGTCCTAATTGCCTGTTAAGATTTAGCCCCAGTATAACATGGTCCTACTCGCCCGTTAAGATTTAGCACCAGTATATCATGGTCCTACTCGCCTGTTAAGATTTAGCCCCAGTATAACATGGTCCTAATTGCCTGTTAAGATTTAGCCCCAGTATACCATGGTCCTACTCGCCCGTTAAGATTTAGCACCAGTATATCATGGTCCTACTCGCCTGTTAAGATTTAGCCCCAGTATATCGTGGTCTTACTTGCCTGTTAAGATTACGCCCCAGTATAACATGGTCCTACTCGCCTGTTAAGATTTAGCACCAGTATAAAATGGTCATACTCGCCTGTTAAGATTGAGCCCCAGTATATCATGGTCCTACTTGCCTGTTAAGATTAAGCCCCAGTATAACATGGTCCTACTCGCCCGTTAAGATTTAGCACCAGTATTTCATGGTCCTACTCGCCTTTTTTTAGATTAAGCCCCTGTATATCATGGCCCTACTAGTTTATCGTGGTCCTACTTGCCTGTTAAGGTAGCAGAGTACAGTAGCGTACGGTGGCCATGGGTGATATTTTTATACAATGAATAACCCCTGTAATATAACATATATAAAAATTAAAAAAAAAAAAATCAGCACTAAAATTGGCATATACATGATGAAGTGGACTATGTGGGCTTCATAATTTTTCAAAAAAAAAATCGGTTTTGGTTTGAGACTACAATTTTGGGCATTTACAAATCTTGGTCTACACAACAAAAGCTAGCTTTTCATGTAGTCTATTTTTGTACTCAGCACATGTGTAAATATTGTGAAAAATCCACCGGAATGACCTATGATAAGACGTGAGTATTTCTGTTACCGAGTAGGAGATATTTAATTTCAGACAGGGTTTAAGAAAAACAAGTATATCATGGCCCTACTTGCCTGTTAAGGTAGCAGAGTACAGTAGCGTACGGTGGCCATGGGTGATATTTTTATACAATGAATAACCCCTGTAATATAACATATATAAAAATTAAAAAAAAAAAAATCAGCACTAAAATTGGCATATACATGATGAAGGGGACTATGTGGGCTTCATAATTTTTCAAAAAAAAAAATCGGTTTTGGTTTGAGACTACAATTTTGGGCATTTACAAATCTGTGTCTACACAACAAAAGCTAGCTTTTCATGTAGTCTATTCTTGTACTCAGCACATGTGTAAATATTGTGAAAAATCCACCGGAATGACCTATGCTAAAACGTGAGTGTTTCTGTTACCGAGTAGGCGTTATTTAATTTCAGACAGGGTTTAAGAAAAACAAGTATATCATGGCCCTACTTGCCTGTTAAGATTAAGCCCCAATATATCGTGGTCATACACCCGTTAAGATTTAGCACCAGTATATTGTGGGCCTACTCGCCTTTTAAGATTTAGACTCAGTATCATGGTCCTACTCGCCTATTAAGATTTAGACTCAGTATCATGGTCCTACTCGCCTGTTAAGATTTAGCCACAGTATATCATGGTCCTACTTGCCTGTTAAGATTTAGCCCCAGTATATCATGGTCCTACTCGCCTTTTTTTAGATTAAGCCCCTGTATATCATGGCCCTACTTGCCTGTTAAGATTTAGCCCGAGTATATCGTGGTCTTACTTACCCGTAAAGATTTATCCGCAGTATATCATGGACCTACTCGCCTGTTTTAGATTTAGCCCCTATATATAATGGTCCTACTCGCCTTTTTTTTATATTTAGCCCCTATATATAATGGTCCTACTCGCATTTTTAGTTTTAGCCCCAATACATCGTGGTCCTACTCTCCTGTTAATATTTAGACCCATTATATCATGGACATAACCACGTTTTCCTTGATCCTTGTTGTCTTTTAATATTTAGCCACTGTATTCTCCTGTTCTTCATGTACCATTTTCTCTTTCCCTATAGACTTGATGAGGTTTTGAGTAAAGATCAAGGATCGCAATTTGCATTTAAACACAAGAAAGTGAACAGCATACATGTATACACGACATCAGGGTAGAACTTCTAAAATGAAGCGCTGACAGAAGCAACAAATCGTTATTACTTTTGAATGATTAGGGTTTGCTTATGATTAAATGTAAAAGAATATTATAGTAATTATGATCGCATGTTGGTGTGCTATAGTATATGTTTTTGCCGTGATCATATCATACAATTTAGTTATACATGTGTGTACGCGTGTGTATAGATTGACGTGGTATGAATAGGTATTTATAAGTATAAATTTTCCTGGTGATTGTATATAACTGTAAGAATGAATACGTTAGAATTCTGTACGATATAATATTATTTTGCTTGCGCATCGCACTGGATTTTATTGTCCATCATTTCAATTTTGTCTCAAAAGGTTGTTATGACGTTAAGGACCGAAGTTCTCTGCATATGACCGACTTTGGAAGTGAAAACTCTGTCTATCAATGTTCCCAGAAATGTGGCGACTTGCAGTACATCGGATTGGAGGTTCGTTTAAAGGAAATACGCTTTATAATTAACCTCTATCAAATGTGATAGTTTATTTGTATCGTCTGTGGATAGAGCCTCATCAATGTATACTCTCATCAAAGTATATTTAAGTCAATTTTAGAATTATATCGTTTAAGGAATGTGCGTATCTCCTCAATTATGTAAAAACTAATTCTTTCCACGTTAACTGTCCATTATCATACTAGTTTATCAACAAAATACGCCTTGAAACTATAACGTGTGCACACATGTAATAATGCATAATGCAACATTTTGATATTTCTCTCCTAAGGATACGGGTTGCTTCTGTTTTCCGGCCTCAGCAAAGCTGTCTCAAGAATCTGAAACCCCGTGCACGACTCTGTGTCCAGGGAACGCTAACGAAATATGTGGAGACTCCGGATCGGGCAAAATGTCGGTATACCGGAAGTGTAAGTACAGTCATCTTCTACGGGTTCATATATACTTGCAAGCATACATCGGGAGTTGTTACGTTTCTAAACACATTGGCAGCATTCTTTTCTTATATTGATTTACAAACTTCATTTTATGTATCAGAGGCATGTGCTCTTGTAAATTTCTAAATGTCAACTGTTATTGTTTCTATCATCCTCAAACTTTTATGATTAATTTTCCCTCATTCAACGTTGGCATACACGACTTTTGCGGTACATGCGTCAAGGTTAAACAGTTTCAAATTGGAAAGATAGAGCATGTTCTCTATTACTGTATTATTCACATGGTATTTTGTTAGTAGATACCAATTATTATGTACAGTATTAGGAGAGCGTTGTTTCGTATTACACAAATGTTCAATTACGTCAGCCTGTAGCTTCATTAATTGAAACGTTTTCCAAATAACAAAGTTTGCCCGAAAGTTATACCTGGTATTTATTTCTTTTTTAATTATCCACTCATAACTAATCACGAGATACTACTAAAATTCTCAATATGTAGAGTATAACTGTATTCCGACATGCGTAGAGTATTTATTCTAAAACATTAGACATGCTTATGTGCTCCTCAAAAACAGTCATAGGCCATAAATATCAATGCATTTAAAACAACTACGTTAACTATGTAAGCACGGAGATTGCGACTTAATCTTCAGTACCCTAATTAAATGGAGATAATTAAAACTGCCTATACTTGTAATGCTCTATTAGACAAAAGCGCCGAAGGTATAGTATATCATAGAACATCGAGAATAAGAAACAAAACTGCATCTTAAATGAAGGGAAAGAAACCTAACGTAGAAAACTGTATTTATAAAATGAACTTTAGTTGCCTTCTACTGTAAGTGTACAAAACGATTCATCGTTATTTTATATGATGGATGTGGTGGAAGCTTTTCTCAGTAAGCGAATACTTACTTTCAATAAAGCTGAAACTAATCTCGGTACCATATACTGTACACAATGATCCATTTTTGTGGCGAATAATACGTCAACTCATGGCTGGATAATGAATGCACAATATTCGATGAACGGCATTGTTTGAAATCTGAAGAAAACCACGTGAACCTTTTGAATTATTTCTATGATTTGTTACTCTTTCGCTTGAAAAATTAACTCTTTGTTGTTTAAAGTTGACACTAATGAGGACAGGGTAACCTTAGAGGGAACGACGGGAGATTGTGTCACAGTAAACAAAGAAAATGTAGAGGCGATGTACGATGATTATTCCTACGACGAACACCAATTGTTCACAGACAAAACCTGTACGGAAAAAAGGACATTCTTCTGTCGAAATTGTAAGTCATGGAACGAAATCCCTATAACAGTATCTCTCATAACGCTTTATCAAATTTTTCTATACATATATAGTATTTTATTTCTGTACACTTCATCTTTTTTATAACGAATTACTACTATATTTGTATATATCTTATTTGCATACATTGGTATCAAACGTCGATTTAACGTGACTGCCTACCTTGAGTATATATGGTCACGGTGACTAAGTTAGTTGTCGACAATATAGCGTCCTTGATCTGATAACATTTATGATAAAGGCCACCAAATGACTCTTCCAAGGTCTAATGTTTTCTGGTATGTTTTTTGGGTTCATGATGCATTTGATTCGGTGCCTCCTCATTTTCAGTTGTCGCCTCTGATTTTTCAATTTTGTTCTTGTGCATTAACACAAAGTAATACAGAATACATATTTTAGATGTGTACGACCCAACCAAAGCAGACAGTGACATATTTATTTATAAACCGGAAAACAAGACTTGGTACGAAGCTCAGAGTGATTGCTTGTCTAGCGGGAACGACATCGCGTATATCGATGGCTCCAACGCCCTCGGTGTTCTTTCCCGAGACACAATACCAGTAGGCTCAGAAAGTTGGGTCGGGCTATTTAGAGAAACTGCCGAACTCTCCGTAGCCGAAGGTAAATCAAATACAAAGATTTATAATCAGAGTATTGTTTTATATCGATTTGAATCAATATTGATCTATAATTGGCAATTTGAATTTTTATCCTGACCTGTAAATGAAATGGAATCTACTATCAATGATATTTATAAAATAATCCTGCAACCGTTTATAATCTCAGAATTTAAAAAAAAAAATGTTTCACTTAGACTGACGTTAATGTGTACATGTAACAAGAGTTCAAATATTATTGTACAGCAAACATCTCCTGATTAATGGTATTACTACACGAAATATTCTTGGAAGTAACCTATACATATTTGCACTCTGTCACGTTGTTTAGTATACATGGAGACTTCGTTCTTTCTTTCAGGCGATGTCACTGGTGATCTAGTGTCATGTAATTCTATTTCCATCGACAGCAACGTACTGGAGGAGAGACACCAGCCGTGTATGAATAAGTTAAAGACGCTTTGTATGAAGGGTGGGTATGACATTACAACACAAGATAGTGGAAACAGTCAACGTTTCACTTCAAGTCATACATGTATCGTTGTCAGCTTAGCTTGTTATTTCAAATTACGGTGGTTAGACTTATAACATAAAAAGCCGTTGACAAAAATGAAAACGAGCAATACAAACTATATAAGGCAAGATTTTAAACAAGTTATTTTTAAAGAGTGTACATCATTTTTCTACGATTATGTGGCGTTTATTCCCTCCCATCCTACTATTTATTTTGTTTGATAAGTTAGCTTTTAATGAGATGCAATATGAATTTCTATAAAAGACAGCCAAGATATCCAATTCATGGGAATTGATTTTGATTTTTATCCCCAGTATATCATGGTCCTACTTGCCTGTTAAGATTAAGCCCCAATATATCGTGGTCATACTCTCATGTAAAGACTTAGCCCCAGTATAACATGGTCCTACTCGCCTGTTAAGAATTAGACTCAGTATATCATGTTTATTTAGAAGTAAACGTTACTCAAGTTTGTGGATTTTAATTAGGAATTTACTTACCATGTTATATATAAATTATAATCACTTTTTTCCCGTCTGATATCTTCTGTATGAATTGGTTGAGCACGTTGTTTGATGACAATTTTGCTATGAGCAACATCAACAACATGCAGAATGGACAGATTGTTAATTCTCTGATATTAGATGAATGCTACAGCACCACTAAGTAAAAGGCGCATGATAATCCTTGTAAATATGCATTCCTGTAAAATGTGAATCTTTGCAAAATGTGAATCCTTGTAAAATGGGCATTCCTGTAAAATGTGAATCTTTGCAAAATGTGAATCCTTGTAAAATGAAAGTTTTTATACTAACAATGCACTTACAAGTATATTATCACGGGGTTTGTTGAACGATTTCAAAGAAACCATGTTAAATAACTTTGGCTGCACGTTTTGAAACTAACAGTTTATCAGACCGTAAAGAACATAAGGGTTACAGGAACTATATCGATTACTAGAAGTAGCTATAGGACATAATCTATTACATGGAAAATATCTATGCATATATTGTTGTATTTCTTTTCAGTTGTATAAAGAAAATGAATATGATTTCGTAATAATGAAATTATTTTAGTATGTCAGTAACATTCATTTACCGTCTTCAAGTTCAAATATAACCTACAGCTGCTCCGTTAATATAGCTGTTTGACCTAGCGATACAGAGACATTACGTCACAGTTGGAATAATTAATAAATATTCATTTACTCGACATTTCTCAAACAATATCGTCCTTGGTAAACTCTCTCGTTGCAACCTATAGTTATTCCAAGAACTAAAATAAATAAAATAGTGTGTCAAATGAGTATAGGAAATAACAATACTGAAAGCACTACGACGCTAAAACTGGACAGGGAATTTTCGTGTTCATCGGAAATTTAGCAGCTACAATGTTCATTTAAGCATTTGTGACACTCCTATCTCATTCGAAACATTTCATGAACCAAGACGCGTCAAACTAGTCTTGAAGTGTTAAAAGCGCCGGGTGTCAGGACGATTGTTTATTCGATACATAAAGACAACATCAGAACCTAAGGGAACGCCGAGACGAAAAACAAAGACTTTATATACCCTTACACATTTGAGATATAAACACGGGCTCCGGAATAGCAATCGTTTCCTCCACATATAACTCATGTCATGTTTCCTATCAATTCCTGAAAATTGTGTAGGTCATTAATTTCATACACATAGTAAACACTTCTTGGTACACGCTGTTAAAACTTTTGTTTTGATGACTCGTCAGTCTTCAGTTGCTGTTTTTGTTTGATAACCGTTTTACGTTAGGCTATGCATATGTAATTTATGTATACAATACATGTACTTATGTATGCATTTTTCTAATTCATGTTGAAACATTGACACCATATTGGACAGTGTGTTATGTTCTTACCTGTAATCATGTTTTTTTTTGTAATTTTCAGTAGTGTATAGCATGTTTCTTTAACCACTACTGAAAATGACATTAATTTGCTATAGTTTAGCAATTCGATTAGTGTTGAGCAAACGATTACATATTGGCTAATGCCATATGTTTAAAGTAGTTATTTGTGTGTCTTTTATCACTGTAATACAACTACCATTTTTGAAATAATGATAGTAAGCGTGGACCCTACAACAACCGAGATGACGTCAGACTACGATATCACATCTGAAATGTCTGAAGCGCCAATTACTGAAACACCTACAACAGAAGAGTCTACAACAGATGCGCCTACAACAAATGCGCCTACAACATATACGCCTACAACAGATACGCCTACAACAAATGCGCCTACAACAGATGTACCTTCAACAAATGCGCCTACAACAGATGCGCCTACAACAGATGTACCTTCAACAAATGCGCCTACAACAGATGTACCTACAACAGATGCGCCTACAACAGATACGCCTACAACAGATACGCCTACAACAGATGCGCCTACAACTGAAATATCATCGGTTGCTTCAACGGAAGAAACGACAGAGACGCCCTCTATCATTCAGAGGGAGACAACAGATGCATCTACAGCAGTTACACCAGGTACATATATTACGGTTATGATTATGAAGACAGGTATGGGATGTCAATATATTATTAAACCACGAATATATATTATTGAAATGTCATAACTAATATAATCATATTAACCCTAGAATTTAAATGTAACAAAACATATATAAGCATACTAGAGGTCAATAAACTGGTGTTCAATAATAGTTAATGATGACTTCAGATTCTCAAATATATACGTATACATATACGTATTCTTTTTTAAAGTACCCACATATTGTATTACAAAAGATGATAATTCTGTGAATATGTTTGTTTGGCGAGTTGGCTTACAATTTGTGATATGCTATAATGAGGGCTACTGTGTGGAAGGCAAACATAACAAAGTTTGTAGCAGGGGGGAACCTTGAAAGGACTGGCATATTATGAAAACATTTGAAATACATGTATCAATTTTAATTTGGCATTGAAAACAATGACAGTAATAGAGAGCAATGTAATTTTCAGGATCTAGAGTTTTAAATCGTGCTAGTTCATCGAAAACGTCGACGACGATAAAAACAACCACATCGATGACACCGATGGCAAAGAACTCAGTGACGAAAATGACTGGTCCAAAGGCAACTACAGAACAACTGCAACCGAACGCTGCTAACGTGGCAGAGAAAAAGATCGGAGAGGATAACAATGACAGCGCAAATAACAAAGTTACAGGTGAAACGAAGGGTTCTTTTTATAATCTGTTCCTTGCAATAAGTGATATTTCCGAAAATGAAAATACCCAGGTAATCATGGCAAAATGAAACGGGGGAGATGCACATCAAACTGTCACCCTAATGAGATGTATGATAACGTCAGAACAAAGTAGACTGCGTTATCTGATTGATATGTGCAATATTAACAGTGCGAGAGGAAACCCAATCGTTTGCTAATAAGTCTTTGGTGGACTTTCTTTATAGTTGGTATATATACAAGACATCTTCAAAATGTATAGCAAATAATACACACGATGGAGGTTTGATTGTGCAATAAGGAATAGAAATGTCCAAGTGTCTTGATGAATAGCTAAAGTGATATATTGAATGGGATGCATAACTGCAATTTAACGTGAACGAACTCACGGGAGAACCAATTTAACGTGAGAGAAATCATTGGTTGAACATAGGAAAATAATTTCTCTATAAATGGAAACCCTACTGATATTCGTCAAATGATACGTAAACGTAACTGTACAGACAAAACAAATAATACCTGCAACCTCAAAACCTTAAACTGGACATTAAAATATATTGTTGCAATCAATTTTCTTATTTACTGTAAATGCTGCTGTTAGATAGGTCATAAAAGTGTTTCAGATAAGAAAATCATTTACTTAATTTTACCAGTATTATTTCGGTAAATTGGTGGAACTATTAAGTTTGTATGTCGTTTAAGTCTAATTGGTGTATTGTCTCTACCATATATGTGAAAGTGGTTCCGTTTTCAGGTAAATTGTGAGATTTTCCCGTACAATTTCAGCTCTAACACCAGAATATGCGATCCTGTTGATATTTTTCCATTGTTTTGGATTCTAACTCTATATCAATTTCAAATTTGTGTTTTAAAACATGTTCAACTAATGGATCAGTATTGGCCAGCTACAGTTAGAATTACGCCCAAGTATCCACCTAGGTTCAGTTC